TTTTTTTTTTTTTTTTTTTTTGTTTCATTCTAATGAACTGTGACAGCAGTCTTTTGTAGTATAAATTTATCAGCGCGTATGGTTTTATTAAAGGTTGATGAAGGGAGAAAGTTTATTTGTATGGTCAAATTTCCAAAGCATTTTTACTTGAATAAAAAAAGAGAACGATTTTATATGGAGCAGAAATTCATCATTTTCACTTTATTTGCATTCTGTAATGTTTATTTTATTTTCCATCTAACAGTGGTTGCTTCGTCCGTATTGACTGTGCACAGTGGAAAAAAATGAAAACGCAGAAAGCAAACAGATGGTTTTTCTTTCCCGTTTTATTTCTCTGACATTTTATTCTTATTTTCTCTCAACACAACTTTATTACTTGGAACTGAACGGCGTGTATGCATTGAATTACGTGGAGGATTAGCATACTTGGTCGTGAAATTTCGCCTGTTGACCTTATGGTATTTTCAAACGCCAATTAAAAGATGCAAAGTAGTACGGGAAAATTTGTGCTTTTGTGAAATCTGTGCCTGTATGGCGTGGTTATGATGGTGATATTTATTGACCAAACCTGGTTTTCAGTTAGACTAATAATTAAGAAATTATGTCTGCCGACGTGGAAAAAGCTGCGGAAGTTACTTTACGACCTCCTGACGGCATAGGTCAACCAACGACGGAAAGCGAATCGATCCAGATTATTGATGGCCAAGAAGGAAACTCTTCAGTTCTCGCTGATTTGGAGCATTTAAACGAAGAAGTAATCGTTAGGATTTGCTTACGGATTTTTTTTTTTTAAGCAACTGTTATTACTGAGGTTTTCAGCCGGTTGTAACAGACGCGGCGAATACCAGTGAAAGCATAGCACCTAGCGAAGTTGAAGCACCCAGTAAGCAGCTTGAAGAATCGATAGAAAATTCTGCTGTGCAACCTGAAACAAATGTAACACTTGAGACGAACGAGAGTGCCACTCAAGAGCAGAGTATTGTTCAGGAGTCCGAAATTACAAGTTGTCAAAAATTAGAGGGCGAGGCGGTTACAGAAGCAGAATCGGGTGCACAAGTAGAACAAGGTGAAAGTGCCGATGTTTTGAAAGGTAAGGATTTTAAGTCGTTGTTTTAGGCTCTTCTGTTTTCTTTAATATAATGGAAACTTTTTAATGGTTTATTTCTCCGTTTCATCCAGAGGTCAGTTTTAAGTTTTCATGAATAGAGACGTGGTTCACTAAGCATTTCAGATGATCAAGCGGATAACCAAAAAGGATTTGACGGGTTAACGCATTGTTCAGACACTACCTGTACTTACTTTTTGGACGACCATGGCAAGGTAATATCTTGTTCAAATCGTCCCGCTCCAACAGTTAGAATTGCACCGCAATAACTTTTATACTTTTTCATCACAAGAATATTTTGGTTTTTTCTAGTGCAGAGTACTTTTGCATAGTTTGAAAACTTACACTTTTTTTAGGTGTACTCGGTTGATAACAATGGCTATTGGTATATTCAAGATGACTTTGGCAACTTCACACATTTTGACTTAGCGCGTGGGCATGGACATTTGTTCCCATTGAATGAAAAAGGATTTCCAACTTTGCCGCCAAATCCTCATGGAGAATATACTTTTCCGTTTGATCCGAACCATATGCCCGTCTTTCCCTTGGATCCTATGTCCCGTTTACCTATATTTCCGGTCGACGAATACGATAATCCAGTATTTCCTATCGGACCATATGGAAGACCAGTCGTACCAGTTGACCCCAATGGTTAAGCATTTTTATTGTCGAGTTTTGTGTTTAAGGAGAGGAGTCAGTTTATTGCAGTTCTTGATTTTGTTCCCTCCAAAGTTTAAAAATTTTGTGTTGGATGAAATTGCTCTACTTTCATCGGTGGAGTGTTCATGTATAGCCTCATAGATTTTCCATACCTGAATGCTATGGATTTCCCTGTTACTTATGTTCTTTTCTTCCCGCAGGACTTCCAATCTTCCCTCGCGACGCCAATGGCCATTTTATTTTCCCCGTTGGACCGGATGGGAAAACCGTGGCTCCATTAAATATATTCGGTTAAGTTTTCTCCACGTTGTTCAACTGTTTTCATTTTTAGAATGAAAACGTCAATTGTTTCTCTTTGTAGCGGCATCCTCATTCTATTTTTATTATGCGAGTCGACTGTCAGCGATCTATAGCTTTCTTTCAACGTTCTTTGTCTTCCGAAGGAGATTAAAGCATTTCCGTTTATTTTGGTGGCTGGGCTATGAACACATTTTAAGTTCAAAAGCGATTTGGTTGGGTAACAACCTCAAAGTTAAAAAAGATGTAACGGTGAAAATTTCCGTTCGTCACAACTGATACTTTATCGGTATCCGATTTTGACATATTGAGGTATTTATCTCGCTGTAATTTTTACAGGTGTTGCGGTTCTTCCCATTGACGAGAAAGGCAAAGTTGTAATCCCACGAGATGCTTCAGGAAGGCCGTTGATTCACTTAGCTAGTGACGGTGAGTTCAAGTGGTCATTTAATAATTTTACAAATAGTTAAATTTGGAAGACAATTTGTTCTACTGTAAAAGTTTTGAGTAATTGATGTTTATTTAGGCAAAACACCGTTGACTGATGAAGAGTATCATTATTCTTTGCAATGGAACAACTATTACGCAGGTTTCGATCAGTATTACACCAATCATGTGCTTGCTCCTCCTGTAAGTTTGAGTTGTTTTTTGTTTTATGGTCACGATTTATAGTTTTAAGAAGACCTTTTCGAGAATTTCCGCATTTTGAAAACCTGTAAGAGTTGAAAGAATTTTTGAAAGTTTGTGTATGAAGAATTTCTTTCTGGTTTTTGCTGGAGTGGGTGATTTTGATTTGAATTAGGATTGAAATTAAAAGTGCAGGTATATTTTGCAACGTTTTATAATTTAGACGCCTACACCAGCTCCTCCAGTACCTGCCCCAAACGTAAATGATCCTGTGAAGCAAATGAAAATACTTCGAAAGGTTTGTGAATCATTAAAGGTGTTTACATTGCACATTTCCCTTGTATCGATTTTCCACATACTGTTCATCCATTTTTCGTGCAGTCAAGTTTGGTCGATCTGATGTATGCAGTATTTTTACTGCCGACATCGGTGCTTAATAAAAATATGCCAACGCAATTTTAAGAAGGCCTTATATTGCGATAAATTATTGGATAATAAGTTTTTGATTTCTAGGTTCGCCCTGAAGATATTAATTTGCCGCCAAATGACCCGCCAAAACCACCTCCACCTCCAGTTGAACAGACAGCGAAAGTCGTTGAAGAGAAACCTCCGACACCGCCCGCTAAAGATTTACCTGACGTTGCTGTAAAGGCGAAAGCGAAAAAACTGTTGGAAATGCAGCTTAAGTTTGCTCGGAGAAAAAAGCAAGAGCCGGCGCAGGAGGAACCAAAAGAAAAAAATAGTCCTGGTGAGGAAGATAATAAAAGAGAGACCGATAATACGGTGACTGATTCAGCGACGAAAACTACTGAGGCATGTGAATTTATTGACATGTGTAATAACTGTGGTTAGAAGAGTTTCTTAAAATTAATTTCTTCCAAATTTTTATTCAAACCTGAATCTGAGGTTGCTTACTGGTACCAGTTCGTTGTGTTACTCGTTGTTGTTGGTAACAAGCTCAAGTAGCAATCAATAGTTGCAAAAAATAGGGACATTATCTTCACATGTATTTATTTAGCAAGCAGATGCGTATGAATCAAGCATTATTCCTGCTCAACAGCCAGCAATGCGCGAGCCGGATACTTCTCTAAGCCCTAGTAATACAATGAAAGTTAACTTTGACCCATCCAGGGCAGGTAAGATTGAAGGTACAAAGGAAGAAATGAGTAGTAGTGGAAGTACTTTTGTTGCTCCAGCACCAGTTCCACCACCGCCAATGATAGCTAAGCAGTCAAAGGAAACGAATGTGAGTAATTGGTTGTTGGTCATATTTAAAATTCGTATTACTTTTTTTTTCCTAATTTCTTTTTCGGTTAATTTTTGCCAGGAGTATACTCTTAGGAATGTAAAAAAGTGCGCGGATTATTTTTAGGTTGTTCCAGTAGTTTCTGAAAAAGTGGAGACGACTGAAGTCGTTGAGAAAGAGGTTCATTTAGAAGACGAGATTGCAGCAAAGCTGAAGGAAAGAGTTGATTCGAAAAACTTATTGGAACGAAAAAAGTCTTCTGATACATCTAAAGCGAGTTTTGAAATGAGGGAGAAACGGAGCAGAAAAAGAAGCCTTGAGAGGGAGGACTCGAGAGATAGGTCTGTATTGTCTGTTAGTACTTTTTAGTTCCTTGTTTGAGTCGTCGTATTCGTGAGCGGCTTTTAGGGGTAAGTCAAGCAGAAAATCTCGCAGATCTAATTCGAAAAGAACCAGCCGAAGATCCGGTAGCGAAGAACAGTCGTCGCGAACTCGAAGCCCCTCTCGCTCGAAAAATTCACAGAGGAATGGATCTGAGCGTGAAGTGAGGGGGTCATCTCGCCTTAAAGTTGAGAGGTAAATGTCTTTATTCGTTGTCGGGGTTTTGCGTTAGCTTTGGATGTTTTAAGTTTTTATGTGATTTTGTACCAGTAACGCCATTTAAGGATTCACTGGACATCGCTTCTGGTGAGTCTGCTCATTGATTGGCCATCTGTAGAACAGTGGTTTTGCCCACACCCAATCTTTGTTATGCCGTTTTAAAATCATGTTACTCGTCATAAAGTGTTTTAAAGGGGAATTCTTTAACATATACGGTTGTTTGTATGCGCTGGTCGTGTTGAGGTACTTTGTAGTTTTTTGCTTATAGGTCTTGCTTGTACAGAAATGCTAAGTAATGTTGCTTTAGATCGAGAAGCAAGAGTGCGTCTTTCGAAAACAAGAAGAAAGCTTATCGTCGGCATTCAAGTGTGCGTACGCCTGACGAACCACCGTCGAAGCGAAGGAAGTCTGTTTTTAAATTTTTCAGAATGAACGGGATTTTTTCTAAAAAATTTTTGCGCGTCTTTTCTTTACTTTCTTAATATGAGTGGTTTTTGTTGCTGCCATTGGCAAGTTTATACTTTTTTTTTTTTTTTTTTTTTTTTTGGTGCTGTAATAGTTAGGTTCAAATTCAAGACGAGGAAACGCTCCGTAAGATGTATCTGTTAATTTTCTGGCTGATTTTGTACCTGAATCTGATAAAGTATTATTTTAGGAGCAATTCAAATTCTTCAGAAGAATCAAGAAAGTTAAAGTCAAAGGAAAGGAAAATTGATTCCAAAAAGTCGAAAAGAAGCAAGAAGCATAAACACTCTCATCGGAAGCGTTCCAAGAGGTTTTGTTTTTCATCTCTGATGTAGTTTTGCTGCCATATGGGCTTTAGTAATTCTTTTAATTTAAGGCCTAAGGATGAAGGCAGTAATGATGAAGATGTTGAAAAAGAAGTTAGTGTTACAGACGAGAAGCAGTTTGTTGAGGAATCGTATGTTTTTTTTTTTTTCTAATTGAATTTAGTTTTTTCTGAAAACAAGCAGGTCGTACTTACTGTTATTATAGGTTTATAAAGCCTTTATTGTATTAATAAGTATTGGAATTTTAAGGCAAGATCAGACAACGGATGGTGTTGATGAAAGTGAATCTGGTACCACAGCTATTGATTCTTTAACTGAGGT